GCTGCTTCCTTTACGAGCGACTGGTGGCCTGATGCCATGGCGTGTTCTTCAAATTCTCTAACTGCTTCCAAAGTCTGGTCCGGGTTCTGATACAATTTCAGTGGCGATTTGATTTTAGTGATCTTGTACTCGTGTTCGACTGATCGCAGGCCTCTACCCCCTTTCTCCCTCGGTAGATATAACAAAGAAGTCAGGCTAGCTGGGTGCTTGCCACCGTTCTCAACTATGATCTTCCGAGCTGCTCTGTCCACATCTCTTAACTCTGATAGAGGCCAATGCTGTGTCCACATTAGGTACCGCAAGACCGGGAGTGCATACTGATTAGATGCCTGCACACGGTTACAATCAGACACGGGGCTGGACCATATAATAGATATCCTGCGTAGACACTCTTTAGCCGCGCAAGCTAGGGCCAGCCGTTCATCCTCTCGAACGTTCTCTAGCACCCCCAGGAATTTGTAGTGTTTTCCTTCCCCAAGAGCCGTGATGGTAGTTGTCTCGTCCATCCTCATACCAGACTCGTCTAGCACTTGGGCTCCCCTCTTCACGTGTACCACTGAGCACTTTTTCTGATTCCAGTGGAGGCCGATGTCCTGCATCGCTCCTCTAGTCTCTTTCAGCACTCGATTCAGCTTGGTCTCGGAGGCAGCAAAAACCTTGAGGTCGTCGATATACCGGAGATCGGTGACTTTGACTCCTATTATTAAACATTAGAAATAGTTGCGCTGGCCGGGAATCGAACCCTGGCTTCCGGCGTGGCAGGCAAAAAATTCTACCACCGTACTGGCACCAATGCCCTATTAAATACTGACTCTTTGCCTTATAAGAGGCATTGTGGTCGAATTTTTATGGTGAAAATAGGAAAGGAAAAGGAAAACAAAAGCAAAAACAAAAACAAAAACAAAAACAAACAAACAAACAAACATAAAAGGCAAGGTAGAAAAGGGTATCGAATAATCCAGGAGGAAGATAATGTGATGATAATAGTAAAAAAAAAGTTCAAAAACAGCTGGTCAGCGGGAAAATTGAAAAATCGTTAGCATTCCTTTTCTAGATAAACTGTAAAAACCTTTAGCTAGAGCTCATATTTTTCAAATTTCTACTCTTAGTTAAATTTCCTGGACCTGCCGAAATTCTTCCCATTGTCTAAGATTAAAAAACGTACAGAGAGAAAGAAAAAATCTGGAAGTTCTTATTGAAGTCACAACAGAGATGGCACTCGAGTGTTGGCATTAATTGGCGACTTGTCTGAGTGGCAATTTAATTGGCTGTCAAACAAAGACGCATTTAAATTAACAGCAATAATACTAAACATTTTTTATTTTCAGCAACGGTGTGGCTAGAAATTCGCCCAATTGCAAAACTAAATCATAACCGAACAGAGGGTCTCTCAACAGATAGCAAAGAGGGACGAAGGGAGGGAAACATTAAGTTGAGATGTAATAGCCGTGGTAAAAGCAAGAGGGAGCGAATGCGGTAATGTATGCAGTTGCACTCTCCCTGAATACAGCGATGAAAATGATGATTGCTTCTTAAAAGAGAGATTAGGTTGACACGAGTCAGATGATCAACTAAATATGCAGCGAGACAACAAAGACATATTACATTGTATCGACCTAAATAACCTATGATTATGCCTTGACATAACGTTTGATTTTAACTGGTTTTGTTGCTATTTAGCCGTTTTCTCTCCTTGCTAAGAGTTCCTTACTTATGATAAAAGCTTAGCAACAGAGTCGTCAAAGAATATAGCTTATGAACTTTGTCAGGTTGGAACTTGCGTGGCTGTCGCTGAATTAAAATTGTAATTAGTAGTAAGCACTAACCACTTGGAAGTGGGTGTATTTAAGAGGTTGTAACCTTTATTAATTTTTTTTTTGCGGGTTAGAACTAAAAAAGAAGACAGGGCATCATAAACTGAAGAAAAATGAGGCAACAAATATCGTGCACATATTAAAGCTAGTTCAACTGGTTAAAACTACGCATTAGTCTTAGTTCTCAAACGTGCAAACGTATAATGAGTTCGAGTAAAAAGGTTACCCAAAAGAAAAATCGAACTCAAACGAAACGTGCACAGGTAAATGATATGGTGGCTAAAATATATGAGGTAAATGATATGATTTAAATATAATATATGTAAAAATCCGATTAAACTATACCAGCACGTATAACGACTCACTTCTGAAAGGGAAGCTTGTTCGAGAGATAAAACAAACAAATATTTCTACCATAAAAGGAAATGCAATAAAGCGGTAACCAGCACCACTAAAACGGGAACAAAACAAATATTTGCTATTTAACTGATCAGCACGTATCACTGACTTCAGTAATCGCAGTGTTCTGGTTGAGCTCTAATAATGGTTCAGTATTTCGCTGTTTTCTTGGTTTTCTCTTTTTCTGGCGGTTCACTGGGAACAACCACCTCACCTCAACAACAAGACACCGCAAAGTTAAAAGATTTATGCGAGGTATGAAATAATGATTCTGTTTTAGCTGACATTTTTGGGTCTCGGGCAGTGGGTGGAAAAAAATCGCATTAAAAAGGTCTGCAACGGAGTTTATATTGGCACAATAAAAATGCCAGCTTTGTCATAAGGCACCGTGCTCTTTCTGAGATTTACGATTTATTATTTAGTTGATAGATAACGTAAACCTCAAAGTCTGCGGTTCAAAATTGGCCGCAAAGGTTAGTCTCACCGATTGTCCTGATCTACTCAGTCTTAGACAATTTATTTTTGTTTCTCAATAATAGACAGTTATCGATTGACGCCAGTGTCATGTTAATTAAATTGAGGGCGGAGCTTTCCTTTTTAGGGTTGCATTGTTTATGAAGGCAAGCAGCAAAATGAAATGGGGGGAGACTGAGCTTCGTTTTAAATAGGAATTTCTCTTTCCACTATAAAATATCTGGTAAACATATCCCTAGCTTTTAAGATTTTTTTTGGTTTTAAAAGTTGATCATTATTCATCGTTATTATTAATATCATTGCTATAAATGTTTTTTTTTTTTTTACATTTTTATTATTGTTATCATTATTATTTGGTTATTATATCATCATCATCATCATCATCATTATCATTATTTTATTATTATCCTAGCAATCATTATCCTAGTCTGAAGAATTTGCATTCTTCACCATAACAAAAGCTACAACTTTTACGTGATTCTGAATCGATATCATTTACATTTCTCAGCCGAGCAACTTTCCCTCTTAAACCCTTGCATTTTCCCGACTTTTCTTTTTTTATTATTTTAACTATTCGGCTAGTTCCCAAAGGGACTACTAGCAGTGCCGTAGCCAGACCAAACGGCCAACCGAGGCAGGCGGGAGTTGCTAGGGGGGTTCGGGGGCATGCCCCCCGAGAAATTTTGAACTTTAGTCTCTCGGAAATGCGATTTGCAGCGTTTTCTGGGCCTTTCGGTAACTTTTTTTCGAGTTAATTTAAGTGGAATTTAAAAAGCAATAATCAGAAACAAGCTACATAATCTGGGTGACCGTTAACCTCGCCAATGGTTTTGATCAGTATTTGTTCAAAAAAAATTTGAGTTAACGTACGTAGCCCCTTGAGATCGATGATATGGTAATTTTTTCATAGTATATTGACTGAATTGCTGAATTCTTTGTAATATCATGATGCGTTAAAAATATCCGATGATCGCTTATGTAAAATAAAAATGATCGGCGAAATTCGTCAAAATTTTACCGAGGCGAGTGCCTCGGTTGGCCTCATACTAGCTACGGCGCTGACTAGACTGCTTGCAGTCCGGCTTTTCCCTTAAAATCTGTCTAGGTCTTATCTCATCCAGCGCGATTGCAAACCACGACGTTATTATTACAATTGAGACGAGACGAGAAAAGACGGACTGCTGACTCTTTTGTAGTAAACAAACCCTCCGTCAGCCCAGAAACGGAGTAACCGATTGGTCAATTGCACAGCTGTTGACAGATCATCGACTGATCTGTGGTGAGATTGTAAACAATAAAAATCGTCACGCGTCACAACCAACTGCAAACAATAGCGAACCAAGCAGAATCTCAGCAATATAAAAGTTTTAGGATATCTTACACAAGGAAACTACTGTAAATTTCCTCAAGGGAAACGAATTCAAGGCAATCTTACCGGATTTAAAGAAGGTGTAATTTTTTCAGTTGTTTATGTTCCGTTTATAAATCGTTGCAAGTTACTCTGGATTAATTGATGAATAAATTACCTTGACAGCTTCGTTGTCCCCAGACAGAGCAAAAGGTCAGCAGTCTCTTATTTTTTCTTCTCGGGCTTAGGCCCTCATTTCTCGTGGTTTCGTGCAGTAACTTTGCAAACAAAAATAAGAGACTGGTCGCAGTCTAAGGGACCACTAACAATTAAATGACACCATCCTTGCTTTTTATCTAAAAACATTCTGTTATGCCGAAGATGTTCAATGCCGTGATCATCATCATCATCATCATCATCATCATCTTGATTACAATTATTATCCTCTTTTCTTCTTTCTTTAAATACCGATATATTGTTTTACTTAGGGGGAAAACTGGGAGTTCGCCAAACCGTTTGTCCCGACCGCTTTCTTTATCTATATAAGTAGCCTTACTAAAATCATCCTTGAACAGATAAAAAATTCCTGCTAGGTTATTTATTAAACTTCCTGTTTCACATGGATTATTATAGGTTTTCATGAATTTTGATTAACTTCCCGCCGTTCTTCACTACTGACTGAAAATTTACGCTTTTATTCCCGCTTTGCCCATAGGCATACGCCCCCGTGGGGGCGGTAAACTATTTGCCCAAAAAATTCTGGCAAGTTGTCCAAATTTTTACGAAACAGTCAAACAGAAATGAGGGTCATACGATGCAACAACATAGGCCTACATATGAAGCGAAAGTATTCTTGCAAATGAAACTATTATCAAAAATAGGAACTCATAAAATACATTAAAAGTAGCTGTCTTTGCCATTTTGACTGCCGAAAATAGCAATGAAACGATCAATATCATTGTTGACTACAGAGTTGGCATATGCCATTTCAATGTTAATAAGTGCGATATGTCACTGACACATTGTTGCCCAAGGTGCTGCGGAGGTAGGTTTTCAATCTGCGCAACGCACTGAATGATCGTTCTGCAGAACACAATGTATCACTCCAAGGATATGTACCACATTAGAAAACGATGGAAACCTATCAAACAGATCATTCTCGTGCATTGTCTCCAGCATTTCAGGAACACTCATGTAGCTTAATCCGCGCGCACGACGAAAACTCGCGTACATTTTCTCCTCAGCTTCGAGAATCTCGCCGTCGAGTTTGTAAAATTTAGCAACGCGAGAGAAGCTTTCTTTATCAAGTGTTTCGCTGTGACAGATGTTTCCCAAAGCACAGAGTAGTTCCTGATCATTTCCGCTGAACCTGAGGTCAAGATTGGACAGCACCTTCTCGATGGACGAAACTGGACTCCTGTTAAGTACGTCTGCGAAACAGCGCTGAAATCCTTGTTGATTGGCCTTTTATAAAAGCCATTGTCGATTTACCAATCTGGATGAAAGGACATTTTCCGTTGAGTCCGTTTTGGTGACCCAGAACAAGGATATCGGCGCTGCTTCGCTGACCATACTAACGGAGGTTAAATCACGTCTGTGACGCACACTATATGGTGGTGCGATTCCGGTGTCAGCTGCGTTTGTCTTTGCGCGTGTTCACCTACAAGGGCTTGAAGGCGACTCGATGGCTGAGTGACCTGGCTTCTTGTGATTCAAACTGAGAATTGGTCAGCCATTTCTTCATTTTCAGACCGATTGCTGATGCTATCTGCCATACGCTGTTGAAACGTTCTTCACTCCTTGCCTAGTCCCTGTACGGCGTCTTTCCAGGCCCTCTCGCAAATGCATTTCGGTGACGTATCCGAGACGAACGGCCGGGAGACGCCTAAACAATCTCGGAGTGCGCATGCGTGAGCATTTTTGAAAAGTTTACACGCTGAACTGAAATAATCTATAAATAACTTTGCGTGTGAATATCCGACGCTTAAAGATCGGCAGTGTCTGTTATTAAAGAACAAAAATATTACTTTGTATCGGAAAGAATACTACTGTATAACGTGCAAGTAATTTCTCTTTTAGTTCATTTTCAAATGAACCGTTAAAATGGTATTTCTTTATTGATAAAAAGATTTGAAACAGTAGTTTGTTGACATTCTACCAAATTTAGAGACCAAATTCAACAGCCCGTCCGATTAGTTTGATAACCGGCTTCCAAATCCAAAAATTAAATTACATAAAATATTTCGGAGTGAAATGATAACGAGAAATTTATAGGAGCAAGCGAAAATAGAGAAACGAAAGATAGCTTTTCATATCCAAGAATAAATATAAACTTATTTCTTTAGCTTACCATCCGATCCTTGATCACATAATTTTTTGCGACGCTGTTTTGCTTAGCCCACAAATAGTTGTTGAGATGAAATAAAGTTCAAATTAGTTAAATGAGATAAATGAAAAAGAAAGGCCAAAGGGCTTTCAACAATGAAAACGTGCAGAGAGTAAAAATGCTCCGTTAACCTCTTTATCCTCTCTACTCTCCATGGCTGCTGGACATCTTTCATCAGCTCGGAAAAGTTATTGACAGCTCGCCCGCTTCCAAACACTCCGCCCCAAGAGAGACGAAATGTCTCACTTCTCCGAGTTTGTCTAGGCCTCAAAAACTTTCTCGGACCACGTGACCCGAAACGCATCTGCCTCGCATAATAATGAGGCCTAGGGACTAGGCAACTTCACTCCGACACTAGCCGAGGGTCTGAATGGTTATGTCGAGCGGAATTGATTCTAAAAAGTTATGCAGAAGCTGATTCTAATCAATTCACGACTGGAATTACCTTACACCAGCTAGTGCAGTGGGCACAGTAGCCAACAATTAAAAAAACTACAAATATTTAAATTAAAATCATACTCTTCACTAATAACCAGAAACTCAAAACGTGCTAGCCAACCACTGTCTCTTGTGAATTTAACTGGATTTACCGCGCCTACTTCAGGTTAAAATAAAAAAATATCCTATCTCTTCCAAATAACAAAAAGATGTAGAAACTTCTTTAAAAACTGACTTTGCCCAAATTTCCCTTGCTGCCCAAAAAATCTGAGTTGCCCAAAATTTTTGAGGGGCTGTTCCCCCGGCCCGTGCGCCTATGGCTTTGCCTCTAAGACAGGACTGTAATTACACTCTCTCAATATATTACCTCCGTTCACTGCTATAGTAGGCCATGGCTCTTCTTTTAATTACTCATCTTTACTTTCAGAAATCTATACTGAGTCATGGTTTTCCAGGCATTCCAGGGTCAAATGGCATGCCGGGAATGCCGGGCGTGCCTGGGCCGCAGGGACCCCAGGGAAGAGAAGGTCCAAAAGGACAAATTGGTGATAAAGGATCGCAAGGAGTGCAGGGTCCAAGAGGAGACAGAGGGCGCGAAGGGCCTCCCGGAAAGAGCGGACCGCCAGGAATTATTGGAACAAAAGGTGAATCGGGGCTCGTGGGAATGAAAGGAGAGCAAGGCATTGTGGGAAATCAAGGAAGAAAAGGAGACAAAGGAGAGAAAGGAGAAAGCGCTAAAGCGAGTCAAGCAAGTGTAGTACCACAAACCAACTGGAAACAATGTGTGTGGAAATCATACTCCGATACTGACAAAGGAAAGATTAAGGTAAACAAGAAACGCACTAAAAGCTAAACACGAACTATTTATAAGTATCACAGATGATGTTCATAGGTGTAAAGAGGTCGAAAATCCTTTTTCTGAGATAAAGTTAAAGCACAACTATGATACCAACCTTATTGCCTCAGCCTTCATCCCCATTCAACCTTTCTCCAGTTGGCATTAATTTTTGTGTTATTTAGCATTATTAGAATTTCAGACATTTTAATTTTTTTTTCAGGACTGTGCTTTTAACAAGTTGAAGTCGGATACTGCGCTCAAAGTCTCATTCCAGGGAGTCATGAGGGTCGTAGGTAATGGTAAGTGTAATCGCTGGTATTTCAAGTTCAATGGAAACGAATGCAATGGACCAATGACGATTGAGGCAGTTGTTTACAACAGCTGGTCATCAGGGAACCCTAATCTGCATCATCATCGGTCATTTGAGGGGTACTGCGAAAACATCTCACAAGGAGCGGTTAGAGTGGAACTGTGGTTAGGACAGTGTGGTAGTTCACCTTTGGGTGATGCTTACACCGGGTGGAATTCTGTTTCCCGGATAATGATTGAAGAAGTGTCTAGGCCCCAGTCCTAACGGGTGACGAAGTTTTTCTCTTTCGATTTTTCTAGAAAAATAAAACAACTTTCAAGTAGTTTATGGCGTGCGAAACAGGTTGAGGAAAATTATCCGGCTTAAGGCGCGGTAACAGGGGCAACAAAAACGTGCAGCTTGTTTTGCAACATTGCTGCAAACCGAGTTGAAAAGCGATGTTGCACGTTTTACCACCCACGTTCAAACCTTTCTCGCCGCAAATAAAGGTTACTGCAAGTTGAGTGAATACTGACTTCTGATTGGATAAATAACATTACGCGAGAACTACGCCACGCACGGGACTTAGGTCACTTGCTGCAAAACAAGTTTGCCTTGGGCCGGTAAAACGCGCAACATGTACAGATTTTGTTACAAAAAATGTAGAACCTGCAACAAGATGATTTGTTGCAGGACAGGTTGGATGTGGGTGGTAAAACGTGCAGCATGACTTTTTAACTCGTTTTGCAGTAATGTTGCAAACAAAGATGCACGTTGTTTTATGCACGTTTTACCATACCTTTAGATTGCGCGTGCTCAATAAGCTTCGCTTTTGTGCGTCGTTTTGAGGAGATGGCATGGATTGTTGTGAGTCAAATTAGTTGTTAGTAAGACTTACTAGACGTTTGAACGACTTAGGAATCTGATAGTAATTACGGTAACCTGGAGTGATTTAGATGTGCTTAATATAGAATGATGTAACTTAATAAAAAAAATAGCAAAGAAAAGGGAGATTACTCTGAAACAAGACGAATAAATTTTATTGAACGTACTTATCATTAATCATTGATATTATTACAGTTAATACTCGTGATACTGGGTCACGCAACGGATCTTAGATTTAATTACCCCCTAATGTCTCAGCAATAGTTGAGAGGTTTAATGTAGTAATCTTCAGTTGACGAACAATTTGAGTATTCTTCAAGCGAAATTGGTCGTTACTTGTATTTGACGGAGGTTTTTATCCATCAATTTTCTCGTCCCTCTTTATCTTTTTTATCCTCCCTTGTTCTTACTGTATTTCCTTCAATGTCCATTAGGCTTTTAGCAAAAAGGTAAATTTTATGCACAAGTAATCCGTTATTTTTTCTATAGAACGTGACGAAATTCATGAGAACATACACAACTGTGGTAAAACTTACTCTAAATTTACAAAAAGCCTACAGATACGATCAAACAAATATTCAGCTTAGGGTTTCTTGGATTTTTGTCCTGGTCTTTCGAACAACAGCTATCTTAGATGCAAGAATAATAATCATAACTATAACAGAATTGTCAAATCTGATTAGCTATCAACTGCCCTGATTTCAGCCTTACTGAATTGGACAGTTTAATAGGACAATACGCGTCATGTCTAAGTAATTGGACAGTACGCGCCATCACGCCAGCTCTTAAATGGCTTTTTTTTTTTTTTCACCGTTAGCAAAACAAAATTTCGAATTTCTTGTGTTTTGATTTTAGAAATAGCCTATTATATCACAAATTTTGGTAAAGTTATGATTAATTGGTAACAGAACTTCGTGTCGTCCAATTCGGCATTAATCATACTCGTGATTAAACAAATCGGACTCCACTCAGTCCTGTTACCATTACTAATAATAAATAGTAATAATAATAATAATAATAATAATAATAATAATAGTAAGTAAGTAAGTAAGTAAGTAAGTAAGTAGTAATAATAATAATAAGGATAAGGATAATGACAATAGTTATAAAAGTAAATTATTATTATTATTATGCTTAAAAATTTTGCCCGAATCCTTTGAGGCTTTTTAAAAAAATACTTCATATATAACGTTGAAATTTTTATTCCAAGAAGAATGTCAGAGGACGACAAGATAACATTTGCCATAAAATATCTTCCCAGGTCACACTGGGTAATGATGTCATCGATAACGTGAGTATTGCCAAATTAGGGTTTTTTTTGCGGTGATAAGATTTCATTATCGAGTTAAAAACAAAAATCATATCTAAGGCCTTGCATCAGCCACGTGACCATAGCGATTTGAATGTTTTAGTTCGTTTTTAAAGTACATGTTTGGTGATAAATTGGCAAGTTTTTCACTACCGATCTTTACACTTTTTGCCTCTGAGTAATTACACAGCCATTTTCAAAGCACAAACAAAAGAACCGAACATAGATTGTAGAAGAAACTTGGTACACTGATGTAAAAAGTCAGGAAGATGATAAAAAGGTAATAAAAAGTGGGGGTCACCGTGCTTGTTTTGACGTCACAATGCTGACAAATACGGCTATTTAGGACCCTTTGGCAAAAACCCCGCACAGCCCAATAGTAGATAAAAAGGAGAGATTTTTTCAATGATGCATGTGGTAACGCACAGAATTTGACTTTACTGGGGTATTGTTTATCGACTCACGTTCCAGAAAAATGCCTTTTAATGCCCGTTGTTTTTACTTAACGTTCCAAAGTAGATTTAAATTGGACACGCGCTCTTCGACCAGCGATAGCTCAATCCGTACAATTTAGCAAAATTGCCAAAAAACTGAAGATAGATTTGTGCCAATTTTCCTCATCGAAAGTAAGTACTGTCCTTATTAAAATCTTGAAATAAAAAATGGGGGTCACCGTGCTGGAACTTGGATTCGGGATTCCAATCGTTACCGATTCCCCCGTTTATAACGGATTCCAAAGCCCAGGGGCCCGTTTCTCGAAAGTCCCGGTACCTTTTCGGGCCCGAAATCAAATATTCAAATCGAAATATAAAAAAAAAAGAGCGCTGCTCCTGGCTAGCAAACTACTCCATTTTGTTTCATTAACTGATAGTTTTATCATGCTAGATGCAAAACTTTTAAAACCTCGATCTTTAATGTAAACGGAGACAGCTTACTGGCCCGTAAATTACCGGGACTTTCGAGAAACGGGCCCCAGGTTTCCTGATTCCTACTCTAACTCCAACTTCCTATCCTATTGGACGGCGCATCGTTGACTGCACAGCGGAAACGCTCTCTATAAACTGCCAATCTTCCAACTTCTGTTAGTAACATGTCGAAAACATCCATATGTCCCTTTCCCACTGCCTTCTCGGTCTTTCCCCTTTTCTTTTCCCATCTATCTTTCCCATCTGATCTTCTCCAATCCCTCGCTTCTATTCAAATGCATGGCCAAAATACTTCAGCTTTTGTTTCTTTATTTTGATCTGTAATCATTGATCTTGTACTTTGAGGACTGATTCCACGAAGTAAATATTTCATGGATTCCGGAACTCGGGCAGATTACCCTACTTGGAGGGAATGCCTCCCAATCCCACTGTGTAGAATACCTATACCAAATTAAGCTCTTCAGTCACCCACCCCTGGGAAACAGTCAACTTAAAGGTTCGGTGTAAGACATTGGATAACCTGTACATGGTTTTATCAATTTGATACCTGATATGTTTTATTCTTCTTTGGATCCTTCAGTAATTACCATTGCCTCTGTCTTCAGTTTCGGAAGAGGCCCTCTTCTCTATTAGCCTTCCCAACCCCCCCCCCCCCCCCTCCACCTCACTCAGGAACAGTGGATTAATGTAAGCCAACCAGGAGATCTATTTGAGAAATAACCACCCGGTGGGGGACCTGGTTAAACACTCAAGGGAAGTCTGGGTAGAGATATTCCACCAAAGCCTTCAAAACCTGACTCTGCTCAAACCGAAAAAAAAAGAAGTTTATTTTGCTACACTGTTTAAGACAGGAGACCCTATTTTTTGATCTTGAATCATTTCATTTTGCATATATAGATATAATGGAACTAAAGGTTTTGGAAAATAATTGTCGGTGCTACAAATGTAGACTGCTCATCTCTCAGCAGCATTTAAACCCTGACGCCAAATTGAGCGAAATTGTATATCCGGTCCATAACCCTAAAAACCATACCCTGTTCAACGACACACATCCGTCCAGATCAAATAAGGGAACGCCCCACTTCCCATTCCCCAAGGAAGACGATAATAGCAATAGCGATAGTGGCCATTCTACCACTGAACAGAGTGACCAGTGTATTTTGATGCCGACTCTTAATTGAGTAAACTATTAGTTATTGCAGTTTCAGTTCTTGTTTAGTTTTCAGATTCACACCCATTATATTGACTTCATTGACAAATCGCATAATATTATAAAATAATTATCCACTGAGATTATGTGAGCAATTAAAATCATAATTAGAATGGAAATTTGGCCAAAACTAGTAAACCATAGATGTTCAACTGTAATTTCTTATCAAATCAATTTGTCAAATTAGAATTAAAAACTGTATAACTGGGGTTGTAATGCACATCAATAAACATCTCTTTGAAGATTTCCCGTATCAAGGAAAATTGCCGTTGCAAGCTAGGCTTTACGATCACATACTGAGATTTTCATGGTTGTTCATTGAGCTTGTTTAGCTGCAATAAACAAGAAATAATTTGCGGGAGGAAGGATTTTGTGGAGGTCACGACCTGAATCTAAATTTTTGGCGTGGTAACAGGAAAAAAAAAAAACCACGCTAAATGTATCAAGACTATCGAAATTTTGATGTTATTGAGGTTCAGATAATGGATATCTATTATTTTAGTAAAGTCCTTAATCTGACTGGTTATTTTCTGTACTCTGCGCGCCTAGGCGTCAATAAAAACCTGTTCGACTAACTAAAGAGAACTAATAAAGGAGATCGACTTTAGTATATGTTCACTTGTAAGAAAAAAGAATTGCTAGAAATGACCCCAATGAACGTAAAATAATGTTTCAGTCCTTATCATGATTCAGCATTTCTCTTGTTTTGTTATTCGCTCTGTTTTCTATCCTTGCGTAGAGCTCATTACCAAGAACTTAAACATCTGAACAGCAGAAGAGAACCAGAACAGATCAACCTTCAAGGAATGTAAAATATAAACACCGATTACCTCAAAATCATGATCAAAGAAAACAATCTAAAGGACTTGGCATGGCTTGCTGGCCCTGAATCAAAATTCTAATTTAATACTTAACACCAGCGACCTTGCAGAAGTAGATACAACCTAAACATTTA